GACTTTTAAGAAAGTGATAAAAAAAGTACAACAATTCAAACTCAAATAAAATAAGCAAAGTAAAGCGAGACTTAGAACCTAAGTATTATTGTTGCATTTTCTTATCTGTAAACGTTTTATTGTATATTTGTAGAAAATGGTTCGAAAATCAAAACAACAACTTCATGTGTACTTTGAAGGTATAAAGCGAGATGACAGTGATTGCATAGAAATACCAGTGTCAAAGGAATTTGATGTGGACAATCTAAAACCGGCGGTGATTAGCATGTATGATTACTACCAAAAGAATTTGGTTGATAAATATTTTTACCAAGTAACGCCATAATTGTATTTCATTAATGCGATGTATTAAAACTAATTCAGCTTCTAAAATAAATCGTGTGCGATATGGATAAAATTTTGAATATATTAGAGGTTACGAGTATTTGACCGAATCGACAACGTCGTATAAAGACTACCCTATTGGATCAATTTTTATTTAATTTTTTCCAGCAAAGCTGAAGATGTTTCAAAATGAGAAGAATCTCTTTGCGTCTGACATTAAATAAGATACGTATTCATATTTTCGTACTCCTTAAAACGGAAATGCATCACTTAGTGGTGGATCCACGAGGGGATTTGACAGCCAAAATCGCAGATTTTAATTCATATTCAAAAGAATTTACGTTGTAAAATCTATATTAAAAATATGTTCTGGATGAAAAATATCAGAAGGAAATTCTGGATCCCCTATTGGTATCACTCAAATTATTTCAGGCTTTATATCCACAAGTCAGAAAAAATATTTTTCCTTGGATCAATATCTGAAAAATATACCTTAAAAGTGCTTGTGATTTCAAGTCAAACATTCCAATAACCTTCGACAAAAATGTTTTATACCACGGAAAGTAAATACATATCTGTGTCTGAAGACAAAGTACACAATTCAAAATGAGGTACACATTATAGAAAAAGGTCCTTGTATGGATGTCTACAAAACGCATATCGTACATTAATAGCTTTATCGAAACCACAAAATAGTTTGAAAGAGAAGGTCAAACGTGATAGCAATTCTAAAATGATCTACGACTAGTGCATCAAAATGGCATAACTAGTGTTAATTGAGCTCTAAATACAACAGGGTTGGACTACTCCCTACCTACCTACTTAAAAAAAATATGTATATAGAAAAATTTCAAAAAACTTTAGGTAATAACTTAACAAGTTTAGCTGAACCATGGACTGAAACCTCACCACGCAGATCGTCTTGTCATTCTAAACTTTCCGTCGCAAAAGTTCCAACTGGAAAAGCTTTCGTCACGCAGTAGCTTGCGTATCGAGTTAGCCAAGTAACTGCTGTTAAAAAAGCTCAAGCAAAGCAAGCTCAGCTTAGCAGGATAGGAGCCAGTTTCGTTGCTAACACATAACATATTTAAAATCAGTGTCGAAACTGAACGCAACAAGCGCACAACATAGAAATCCGCAAATGCGCTGGCGCAAAGCAAAACGATAGTGACGGTGTTAGTGACTACTAGTAAATGCGTAGAGAGTAGAGCAGCAGTGAATGTGAATATACCCATATATGTGTTACAAAATACGCCTATTGCAAAATACATACAAGTATATATGTATATGTATTGAAGGGATGCAAGCAAGCGCTTACTAAATAAGTCAATGAGATTGCCCAATATTAAAAGGCAAATTGTGAATGGTGAATAAGTCAATGAGCGTAGAAGTGATCGCATCATCGCATCAATTTAACAACAACAAGCGCACACGCTTAATATGTGCACACACGTAACTACAATCACAACACTGCACAAGTAACTTTGAAACAAAAACAAAACACCGACCACAAAAGCGTCAATAAGGCATTAAAAACTCTAACAATATTTTAAAGCCAAAAAACAATGTTTGCATATATGTATATATGCAGAATATAATCACTACACCTACAACAGTTGAAATACATAATTGTGAATAGTTAGTGCAAAAACAAAAACTAAAATAAAACTATGTTATTTTATCAGCGTAAAGCGTCGCTGAGCTGCTTCCCCTCTGTGGTCTTCGTCTTCCTCGCAACACTATTGCATTGGACACAGTTGACCGCTGGTCAGGGGTTAGTAAATTGTTTTACCCAACATCAACCATATACATGCCTATGTACTTCTGTAGCCTTATGTGTGTGCGTTAGAATTGTGTGACGAAAACGCCAAGAAATAAATGAATGAATGTGTCGAGTGCTCGTTAGAGGAACAACTTGTTACTTCAGTGAGTGCACGTAGGTGTTAAAACTCACATTCCTATAACCAAATGTATACATATCTAAGACGAGTTGTGAACTTTGTTATTACAGCTGCTAGCCAAGTTACATTTCTCGATATTAGTCACTTTGCTCAGTTCATTTTTTCTATTTTTCTATTTGTTCTTCCTAATAAATTTGCAATGTGCACATTTCTCAAATAGTGTCGTTATTATGTATTTATTTAACATTGAGTCATTCCAGGGTTTTACGAAACATCGCAAACATTGCTTGATGGCTGGTTTTTGGTCATGAAGTGATCTCATACGGAGCGCAGCACTTCGCAATGTGTACAACGGTTCGGCTTTTGCAGTACGCTTTGACGAAACAAAAGACTTAAGCGACAAACGAGCAAATTGAGCACAACAAAAACACACCAACCACAAAAAAAAACAAAACAAAAAACAAAAAACTAAAGCAAGAAAGCGATAATGAAACAAACGCAGAAAAAAGAACTGAAATTAACTTTAGTAGAGTATTCTATATGAATCTGGCGAGTATAAAGCTACGCCACACTATCACCAAAACTTCGAAATATAAAATTTAATTGCCGCTGATTAAAATTAAAAATATGATTTGTTAATTTTTGCTTTTCGCATTATTATCATTCTGACTGGAAAAGTAAAGTGAGGGAAAAATTCAATGAGTAAGGACACAATTGATAAGTATAGAAAGTTTCGTTATAATACACAAAAAAAAAAACCTGCAACAATTGCGCGGTTAAGATTATATAACGATACGATCCGTTTCAAAAATCCTATGTAATGGTCTTTGTAATCCTATTTTTCATGTTTTCTTGCTTTATGTGATAAAGAAATACTTAAAATATACGCATGCCATATTTCAAGTAAATTTGGGTGAGAACTAGAGATATTGTGGCAACTGTATCGAAAAAGTATTTTGGCCCAGTATTACCCCCAGGGTATTATTTAAACAAAATTTGTTTAATATTTTATTTTCCGTTCCTTTATACCCTTAGAATTATGGTAGAAACCCATTTTACCATTGGAAGGTTTCGAAAAAGGCCGAAAAATAATAATGCCACTCAACGCTTTTTTCTCAAAACACACTTTTATAAACTGGCGGAAATGATTCCGGTCAGATTGCTCAAGCGATTTGCTTAGTTTTTTTTATAAATATTCACAAAACGCCTGGCTTTCATCCCAATATTTTTTATAATTTATTGATAAACATTTTATTAATAAACATTCTTTCATGATTCTAGTAGGGACGGTAACTATTGACGTACTTTTTAGGAATAAATTGGGTTTTTGTGTTTCAGATAATTTAAACAAAAGAAATCGTGTCCGCCAGTGAAAAAACGCTTCTCATTCACCCAGCCATTTCTCCGACAGATGTCATCAAAAAACTCCGAAACGATTTGTTTATACACTCCACGATGTACTTCACGATATGTGAAAAAAGTTCTAACATAAAAAAAAAAATTTTCTATGAAAAAAAAAATTTCTATGAAAAAAAAAATTTTAACAAATAGACCAACGGCTTTAAATTTTCATCCGTAGTGTAATCGGCTTTAGGCTACCCGATCATTGTAGTGTTTTTCGGGCAAAAGGGCAGCTATTAACGGTAAACGCACAACTCCGAATTACAGACTCTTTCAGGGAGGTGAGCATTTGCTTCAACAGTACAGTGGCAATACTATCGCTGGCAATTGCAAAGCCGATGAGCTAGTCGTGGGTTGGAATGAGATCTCCATTAGCATCCTGCATTCTGGCACTGGGCCAATGTATCTTTCGTGTGCTTAGCAGATGCTGATCGACGACTAGCTTTTGAACAACTGCGAGATTCTTTTGGCCTGGATTAGAACTAGGATATCTCCTGAACAACTTGCCTTTAGCAAAATTCAACTTGCCGACCCGATAGGAGCTCTTACTGCACACATCGGATATTCATACGGTAAGGCTTAAAATATTGTTTGGTGCTAGTTGTCAAACTTGTATGGAAGACGTTGAGGTGGAAACCACGAAACACTTCTCCTCCATTGCCCAGCCTTTCCAAAATTGAGGTTGAAACATCTCGGCACTCTTATCTTCGGCGATTCAGAAAACACAGCTGAAACTGACATTAACAGTCTCAAGAAAAATATAAGATATATGAGAACGAGCCGACGTTCAATGCTGTCCAATTGAGATACCTGTTAATGCCGACTTTTAACGTAAACGACTTTTAAATATATAAACATTTTCCTCGAAACCTGAGGAATTTTTTTTCGAAACGCTTGAACCGAACGCCTTGAAATTTTCACATAACTTTTGTATATTTTTCAAGTTATGATCGATGTTATAACATATTTATTAGTAATTTTGATTTTTAAAGATCCCCTTTTGAAGGATAATCTTTTGATATATATCATCTTTTTGTGATAAATTGATATTTTGACTAGTTTTTTTTTATTTTTAAATCAATCTATAGCTATATAATAAATTTTTAGATTATTGGATTTCATATAATTTTAAGCAGAAAAATCTTTCTCACCACCAGCAACATATTTTCTTTCCGGGAGATCGGCTATGAGATATAAAAAATCCAAATTTTTCGAAATGAAATTTTTTTATGGAGCAAAATGCATCTTTAAAGAGTTTTACAAAATTTTACGTATTTGCAAGTAGAAATAAGTTCATAAAAACTATTAACTCAAGGATGATCGGAGTTTTTAACTTTCATTTCGGGAAGATAATAAGCTTGTTGCAATGTTCACACAGAGAGCGCTATAACGTTGTTTAAGCTTCAAAAAATATAGTCGCATACGACATCAGCTCGGTATCCATATATTCGGAAGTGATGGTACATCTGTTCGACTAAAATTTATGAAGTTTTGCAGCTTTACCTAAATTACTCATACAACGTAGGTAAATAGGTTAGATGCTTTATTATTCTGTTAATAATTATTCAAAACAGAGACCCTTAATTTTTTCTACTTAACGTCACCTAAAATGCCAAATAGCGTCACACAATTTGTCACAAATTTAAGGAAAAACGATTTAATAGAAACCACTCATATTGAAAATATTTCAGTTTTGTTTATAAAATGGTTATGTATTATTTATACATATCTAACAGCGGAAGCTGAAAATTTTATGTTACATACATACATAAATTTTGTTATGTACCATTATGTATTCAGTCGTAAAACAATGAAATACTCAATTTTTTTTTTTTTTTTTTTGGATGACACGTTTTTTTTTTTAATTTTCAGTAAACAATTTCTTTTTTTGTTTCTTCTAAAAATTATTTTAATTCTGAACATTTTTATGAAATTGCTATTGAGGTGTTTTATACGCCTACATGATGAGTTAAAAAAAAAAGAAAAACACAAACTATGCGCAAAAAGTTATTGAAACTTGACGTTTATGGGAATGGGTATACTCATTCTTATAATTGCAAATATCATGAAATCGATGTAGGTTTATTTTAAATAAACGCATACAAGTTGTATATATGTATATGTACTTGTGCTAAAATAATTTTACGTAATTAACTGACGCGCAAACAAAGTCATGTGCATGTTTATATAAGTGTCTGTATTAATGTACATATGTATGTATGCTATATAATAGCTGCTCACACCGGTTCGAAATATTTCAGATTTCTACATTTTGGATAATCATGACGGCTTCGAAGTTAATTTTTTATTTAAAAAATTTCTAATTGTAAAATTTGTATGAAAGCTACATAAATTGAAATTTTTTTTTTTTTTGCTTCTGCTTTATTTTTATA